CACTGACTACAAAATAGACTAAAACTAAAATAAATAAATAAATCTAAATTGAATAATTTATATATTTGTAAACATTATAAATTTATTTGAACTATAAATATAAGTTTATAAATAAAAATATAGCTATTCTAATTGGAGGTCATAAGCTTGTAAAATGATGAATGACAGTATTTTTGTGAGTTACAGGAAGCAGTGCATGCAAAGCACTTAGAGCGCTGCCCGCCACAGAGTTAGTGCTCACTAGCATTAATGACTGTAATCGCAAGTATTATTCTGCTGCCTGACATATAACAGCTACTTTTACTAGTACCCCTCCCCCCGCCATAGAATTACACTGAATAACAGGTAATACTGAATCACAGTAAATACTGAGTAAATCCTGTTGACTGTTCACCCTCCTACAAGAACCTACAGTATCATCTCGAGTGGAAGGCAAGTGACAGTCCATTGAGGGGTAGGAGGGAAATGTGAGAACTTCTTTTAGGTAAATGATATTAAAGAAACTACAGTTTCTTGATGGGTCATACACGGACGGAGCTTTCATCCAGTTCATGCGTCAGGTGGTTGTGTCTTGTCCAGGGTGTGGAGTCCCCTGTGACAGAGTGGGCCTTCTACAAGGAGGAAGAGATGACAGTGGTGTCCAGCCTGCACTTTTAAGCCCCATCCTGGCTTTTCCTCAACCATATCAGGAGGACAGCTTTGCATTGTACATTCATTTCCATTGTACTACCGAGGATTTGCTGCTATGAGGCAAAGTACTTGGAACAGTTATTAAATTCACTGATTATTTACACATATTTCTTTCACAAAAAGGTAACTCCAAACTGCTGATCTTTTCTGATGACAAATGACAATGTTTTGTTACTTAGAAGACTTATTCAAAGAAATAAGCATTTAATCTGAACTTTCAAATTGCAAGTAACATTAACACTGAAAAAGAAGATAATTGCTTTTCCAAATAAACTCATGCCATAGAGTACTTTGAAAACGGATGTTTTCATCACCATCGTGTGACTTTTTTGCTGAAATTTATGTGTCACAGATACAAATTATCACATACCTTTGCAAAGACTGGGAGCAAACTTTTTAAAAAAAACTTTACTGGGGTTTATAAATATACAGTGAACTGCATGTGTTTAGAGCATACAGTTTGACAGGTGTATATGCACACAGCCCAGTGCAAGCATCACCACATCAAGATGACGAATGTACCCATCACCCCCTCAAGCTTCTGTGGCCCCTTTGTGATCCCTCCCATGGGATCCTCCCCATCTTCATCCCCCAGTTTCAAGAAACCACTGACCTACTTTCTATAACTTACTTTGCATTTTCTAGAACTATTTTTTATAGTTGGAATCATAAAATCTGTGTTCCTTTTTACCTGGCTTCTTTCACTTAGCACAATTATTTTGAGATTCATCCATGACATTGTGTGTGTACATAGTTCATTCTTTTTTATTACTGAGTATTCCATCGAATGGATATGAGCTGTTTATGTAGTCACCTGCTGATGGGCATTTGAGCTATTTCATTTTTGGCTGTTACAAATAAAGCTGCACACGTCTTTGCGTGGGCATACGCTTTAATTTCCCTTGAGTAAATCCCTAGAACGGTGGGGTCATCCGGTGAGGGGATGTTTAAGAAACTGCCAAACCGTTTTCCGAAGTGGTTGTACATTCCCAATATCATTGTGTGTGTTCCAGTTTCTCCACATTTGCCATCTCCATGTCTTCTTTGGTGAAGTGTCTTCTTAAATTGTTTGCCTAGTTTTTGTTTGTGATTGTCTGGTTTGTTTTTTTTTTATTGAGCTTTAATAGTTCTTTTATATATTCTAGATACAACTCATCTATCACATTGCTTATTTGCAGATATTTGCTCCCAGCGTTTGGCTTGTCATTCTCTTAACGGTTTCTTTCTAAGAGCAGTTCTTATTTTGAAGAAGTCTAATTTATGATTTGTTCTTTTTATGATCATGCTTTCAGCATTGTATCAAAGAAATATTTGCGTAATCTAAGGCCACAAAGATTTTCTCCTATGGTGTCTTCTAGAAGTTTTATAGTTTTACATTTTGAGTAAATTTTTGTGTATGGTGCAAGGGAAGGATCAACATTTGTTTGTTTATTTGGCCCACCGGTGCCCACGGATCCAGCTCCCTTTGTTGTGTAGACTTCTTTCTCCACTAACTTGCCTCTGCACCCTCGTTGAAAACCAACCGACTGTATACGCTTAGGAGTATGAGGTTCTCCTGATGAACTGACCCCTTTGTCATTTTGAAATGACCTTCTTTATCCCTCGTAATAGTCTTTGCTCTGAAATCTACTTTATTTGATACAAGTACAGCCATTCCCACTTTCTCTAGACTGGTGTTAAATGTTAAATATCTTTTTCAGCCTTTTACTTTTACCCTATTTGAAAAGTCTTTATATTTAAAGTAGGATTCCTGTAAACAGCGTGAGTTGGAGTTTTGCTGTTCTATTCAGTCAGATAACCTTTTCTTTTTAATGGGGATATTTAGACCAGGCACATTTTATGTTTAGGTATAAGTCCATCAACTTGTTATTTGTTTTGTTTGTTCCATCGTTTTTTATTTCCTTTCCCTCTCTGTCTTCAAAAGTTGAATTTTTAAAAAATTTTATTTTATGAAACAGCTTTTAATTCATTAAAATCTTCCCCATGAATAATTTCATTGAGTGTCATTGGTTTGCTAAATATTTTTAAAAGGAGACATAGAAAAAAATATCTTAACTCTTGTCTCATTTAGTCTCTGTCTCAGTCCATTTGTGCTGCTATAACAAAATACATGGACTAGGTGGCTTATAAACAGCAGACATTTATTTCTCACCATTCTGGAGGCTGGGAGTCCGAGAATAAGGTACCAGGTAATCTCTCTACCCAGAGATAATGTCCGGCAAAAAGACATTTGTTACGGAATTTAATAAGTCTTTTAAAAAGGAGATATAGGGCTTCCCTGGTGGCGCAGTGGTTGAGAGTCCGCCTGCCAATGCAAGGGACACGGGTTCGTGCCCTGG